GAAAATTAGTAAGCACATTATGATCTTCCAGGTACTTCCAAATATGATGACATATACTGTAATACATTCTAGTATTTCAGATGTTACTGAAGTAAGAAATAGTGGTCTATAAATCCTTGCTAAAGATCTTTTCCCCTTTTTCAAATTGGAAGTACATTTAAGCTTTAATCCAGTCATTTGGCAACTGACCCTGATCTAGTGACTGTTGAAAAAGTGAAGCCCGGATGCCAATGTTTGTGATTAAGCTCTCTCAGAATATATGTTGGCACATCATCTGGCCCACTAGCTTTATTCAAATTAAGAGATTCAAGAAGTTTCTGGACACCTAATGATGTCACTATTATTTGATTCAAATTTGGGTGATAGACTAGGATCTAAACTAAGTAAAGAATTGAGCTTTTCATTGGTGAGAATAGAATGGAAATAATCATTAAGAACATTAGCTTTACCATAATTATCAGATGCATTAGTATTATCTTCCTCTAATGTATTTATCCTTATGTCATCTTGTCTTTTAGATTTTAAAAAATCTGCAAAATTTCTTAGGCTGATCTGAATTAGGTGTTTCAATTAAGTTGTTGATATAATCATGATATGCTTTGTTAAGCTGTTTCTTGTAAATCTTGCGAGTGTTCCTGTATTTTGTTCTATTTACATGGAAAATTCTGAAGGAAAATGTAATATATACTCTATCTCCTCTGCCTCTTGTAACTCGTGATGGAAAAACATGCTGTGATTGAAGTTCCCAAAAAAACAGTCAACTTTTTGTAGGGCATCTGTGAGCTTTGCCTGATGGGCCATCTGACTGCAGATGCCTGGTGCATGCCAAGGAAAATCAATTTTACTTCAATTAATGTTAGCAAAACATTGAACAGTTCAATTTTAGTTCCTGTGGGAATGAAAATCAATCAAAAGACTGTAGTGGCCAAATTAATTTGTGCTTCCATGTTGGAAATGTGTTTTCAAAGTAGTTGTTGAAAATCAATTTTCTACTTTACTGCTGGCCTGTTGTGAATGACATTATGCATTCCTTCATTTTGAACCTAAGGAATAACTGATATGCCTGTAACTCTACTCCAGAAATACTGAAAACTGCTGCTTATAAGCCGCCCCACTTAAAAGCCCAATTCAAAGCTCTCATTCATCATGAGACTTCCGCAAAAAAATTTAATATGATGTTCTCAAGCTGAAACTATTGTTTCTTACAGCAAAATATACTGCTGTCATTAAGTAACTATGAAATTAAATTTCAAATGTAATTTACTCCTGTTTACTTTGAACTTCCATTCCCCCCTAAGGATGGTGATGCCTGCAGCATCCCATTTGAAGGTTAAAATGCAGATGAAAATCTCAGACATGAAGGTAGCAAAGGGATGTGGGTTTTATAGAATTGTGTGTGTTCCCCCTGCCCCATTTGACTTTTAACCCTTAACACACTAAGACATTGGTATTCATATTCTCCACACTGTTCTCTTTACATTTCTTATGGAACAGACAAGGAAAATTTATCAAAGAAGTATATTTGATAGTGAAACAAATAGAAGAGTCAGTTTAGAACATAAGAGCTACATCAATTGTTTAATAGGTGTTTTAATTGATGAAAATATTTCTTGGAAAAACCATTTTTACTGTGTTAATTATCACTGAAATAAGTAAGACCATACAAATGATTGCTAAGCTGAGATAGATTGTTCCATCATCTGTCCTTATAAATATCTACTGTATAAATCCTTAATTTTGCCTGATATAACCTATATGGACTCCCTGCTTAGGGCAATGGGTCTAAAAAATATAATTATAGTAAACAAAATTGCTTTTCTCCAAAAGCAAGTTTTGTGTTTAATTTACCTTACTGATAAAAAAGAACATGCTATCCCCTTATTTATAATTGCAAAAATTCTACCTATTACCATCATGTAATATGAGGTTGAATATAAATTAATGCTTGATGTTCATAACAACAGTGCACCTTCTAACATCATGAAACTTTTTATGAGAACATCAAACAATTATACCTAATAGTTACTCGCTTATCAACATCACAACTTGACTTCAAAAAAGAAACAAAAAAGGCTCTTGTCAATATTCTAGAGACTGAAGATTCTTATATCAAGCCTGATGAGATAATGGTTAAATTTAAACATGGCAAAATTGAAACAAATTGAACTTGCAGTTGTACAATTATAATCTTTGGTGCACTTAGATACTCAGGACTTTTTCTCTTTTACAATGAATGTCTTTCATTTTCCATTTTCATTTCTTGTGTATCTTTAAATGTTTTGCTTTACATGACTGTATTATTTTCACATTTATTGTCAACAAAATCTGCTCAAAATTTTCAAAATTTTGAAAATGTTATTTTTTTTCTCTTAAGTTAGAGAAACTAGTCCTATAACCACCTAAAAGTTAAATTTGCTGAAAAAATCTTAAAAAGAAGGTGAGATACAGCGGAAAGAATGTTTCAGGAAACCTGTACAGAAGAGCGAAAGGTGTCATAATTGTAAAGACCTCCAGCAGAGTGTTGATGTTTTCTGTGGGCTTTTGTTTAGGATCTCAATTTGCATATATTGTTTACACCACATCTTGTGCTGAACATTCACTGGGAATCTCTTGCATATTTTGCAAAATGTTGAGTAATGAGAGTCTTCATAAAACAGCCTAAAAGAGTGGACTAAAAGTGGAAGAGAGCACAAGCCAAAGAAATTGAAGTTAAGTTGTTCATTTTCACCAGCTTTCTTGATGACTTTTGGATTACGTTTAACTTGTGTTCTCATTTCACAAAATGACCTTTCCCACAAATTTCAAAATAGTTCTTTGTCAGGAGGCTTGCCAGGAGGTTCCAAGTTGTGTTTTATTGGTCAGCAGCATGACTGCATTGACACACACTTTTGAAAAGGAGGCAAGAAAACTGTAAATTTCTTTGGAGGCCAAAAACTTGAGGTTGGCTATCATGCAAGTTTTACCTCTACATTAATAGGGTATGTAGATTTGTTGGATTTTCATGAAAATTACCTTGAATGTTCCTCAGATATTATCACACAGAAGTGCTTCAGGCTTGAATGAAATTTGAAATATTTCTCTCACAATTTATCTGAGTTTGACATCAAGGGAAATCCAACCTCACAATATATTTTCTCAGGAACCCATGGGAATATTGAAATTGCCTGACACTCTTTGTTATAGCCCATTATCTGCTGAGTGATACTGTCCAGTTTGTTTCAAGGTCTGGGGTAACATGTCAGGAGGCTGGTAATTCAGTAAAGCAAACACCATCAATGTTGCATTTAAATGCTTACTGTGCCTACCAAAATAAACAAAAACTGTGAAAAGCTTTGTTATTTCCATAGTCTGTACTTTAAAAGGTTTACCGTGATGTATATTTTTCTGAGTTTTCTGTTGTAATCTAATCATGTGTTTAGCATCAAGTACATGTAAACAGATATCAAATATTGTGCAACAGACAACATGTAAGTTTCCCCTGTACCTTTTGACTTTATCTTTGATTAAACTAGCCATGATCTACAGAAGATCTTTGTTTATTACAGTTTCTTTAATAGTAGCATGAGTTGGACAATTTTTCCAGAAGGCACCCTATTTTGTTGACAATAACCTTAAGTAAAAAATTGCCCGCCTGGATTAGCAACTGCTATCTGCAAGTTGAAGGAAGATTTTGTATATTGAATATGAGAAAATAGATAAAGTGTGACATGAGAAATTCGGGAACATTTTAACTTTTTGATGATCATTTCCTTTATTCTTGTGACCCATACTTTTGATTCAAGGTTGATACTGTAAGGAGAAATTAGAAGCCAATCACAGCTCTTAGAGGTTAAAGGGTTAAAATGGAACTGATGCCTCAAACTTATTTTATTGATCTGTTGTGTGATATTTAACTCATTTTGGAGTGCTGTAATATTCTGGTGTTGTAAAATTAGCATCGAGTAATGATTTTTGTGTGTCCTCTGTAATGTTGCCTTCCATGTATTAATAACAAACATTTCTTTACAGCGGACTTGATTTCATGGCTTCTGCTACCCCATTGCATCTTTCTACCAAAGAGGCCTCTAATTATGCCCAGCTCTGTTGCCTTCTTGTTAAAGTTGGATCACTTGTGCTAAGGGATATCTTTGACCGGGTATGTCCATCAGAAAACCTTCATGCAGTTCTGACTAATCCCACAAACCATGCCAAATTGAAAACACTGCGAAAGAAGAGAGTCCTGAGTACTTCCCAGTGGGAGAAACTGTATCCTGCTTCCAAATCTTCAGTTTCCTCAAAGGACTTTGACACCTCCCTACTGCTAATTCTTCTGAAGAATATCTGGGGTCTGACTCTCCCTGCCTCTGGCCAGAATAACCTTCTTTCAGGATCAGACACCTCTCCAGAAGCTGGCATCACTCGCATCAAGTTTTTCAGGGACAGAGTTTTCAGTCATGCTGGTAATGCTTCAGTTGATGATCCAACTTTTAGTTGTTACTGGAACAGCATCAAAGACACCTTTCTGCATATTGGAGGGACCTGCTATGAGGAAGTCATAGATGATCCTACACTCCATTGTATGGATGCTGATCTTGAAGAACACTACCGAGAGCTTCTGAGAGAGTGGTTGAAAGATGATGACTGCATCACAGACAAATTGCATGAAGACAAAATTGTGAAAAAGGCCAGGAAGGAAGGGTACATGGAGGATTCCTTTGACATTTCTGAACAAAATTCATGGGAGAGAGGTGTGTGTAATTTTTTTTAAAACCAGAGTTTTAAACTAACTTGTAGAGTCAATAATGTACAGTGAGTCGTACTAGATCATTAGATGAAATTGAATTTTGTGCAGATTTTTTTTTAAAGTCACAACTATGTGTAATTGAAGCTGTGAATCTTTATTCCCTTGATACATCAACTGCATCCATAATTTGCTTTTTTCCTTCATCTTTCTTATCTTTTGATTTCCATTTGGGTAAGCTATTTATTGTCACATACAAGTGTTTAAAAAAAACTTCAACCTTCTTTTTCAGAGACAGTAATAATACCAGGTGAAAATACATCAACACAGACTGGCAATAGCAGCCCACTGGAGCTCAGCGTGAAACTTCCAGAGTTGAGTGATCTTCCAACAATCTGTAATCCGTGGGAAACTGTTGAACTTCCTGTTGATATTCTTTTATTAACAGTGGAAGACTGTGAGTTCTTAAGCTGCTTTGCTTACCTGAAGAAGCCCTTTAAGAGTTACCACATTAGTACTGGCTATGTGTACTTTGGGTGCATGGGTGATGATCAAGGAAAGAAAATGAAAATCGCATTGATGAGGTGCTCCAAAGGTCCTGATGTTCCTGGGGGTTCTTTGTCTGTTTCAAAAGATGCCATTGTGCTACTGAGACCCAAGGCTATTTTTTCTGTTGGTGCCTGCAGTGGTTTGAACAGCAAAAAGGTCAAGTTAGGAGATGTGGTTGTTTCAGCAAAGCTTATAACAGCTGAACACAAAACTACCTCCAGCAGAGATATTGGTAACCTAATCAAACATGTGGCTGATGGCTGGAAGGCACCTTTACAAAATGCTGATGAATATAATGCCAAAGTGCACTGTGATGGAGTGGTTCTGAGTATCTCAGAGGCAAACAGAGATATGATTAGGAAACATCCTGAAGCAATTGCAGTTGAAATGGAAGGTGGAGGTGAGAATCATAATAATTGAAATAATTGATGAGCCAAGAACTTTTGCACTTGAAGGAAGTGTTTTGAAAAACACTGCTCTGGTATTGTCTCTGCTGGTCCAAGAAATTGTGTGTACCATATAGCATGCCAAATTTTGCAGGAATTATATACAGGAAGTATATATATACTGTATATTATTGCATAATAGTAGTGATTTTGTGTTTGGCTGGGGTAGGAAGATTTTTGCTGGTGAAGGTGACTGAATACTTCTTCTGGCTAAATTGAGTGTGCTCCTTCAGGATGTCATAAATTGTCTTACATTTGTCATCTGAAAAATGTAGAAAGTATTTTGTTGAGTAGTTTGAGAGTTGAGGAATAGTATCACAGTCCCTGTTAACCTTTAAACTCCCAAGAGTGACCAAGACAGAATTTCTCCTTACAGTATCAACATGATACCAAGCAGATAAGTAATGGGAAAAGAAAAAAGTCAATTAGGGGATTAGTGGTTGATCCAAAACCAAACTCTCCTAACTAACATCATGTATAACAACCCTTTAACTCCCAAGATCTCATTGGTAATTCTCCTTACTGTCTGTGAAATGATTCTCATTATGTTAGTTTGGAGAATTTGTTATCGGATCAGTAATCCCATAATTTACATTTTTCTTTATTCTCATCACTTGTCTGCATGATATTGTATGGATAAAGTGAGGAAAAATTCTTACTTGGTCACTCACGGGAGTTAAAAGGTTAAAGAGAATTTTTACCAATGAGATCTTAAAAGTGAAAGGATTAACTCTATCTGACAGAAGTTTGTCTTTTGAGAAATGTTGAAAGTTACTCATGGAACAAGGTGAAACCTGAAGAATAATTTTACAGTCCCAGTGTAAAATTATTTTCTAATCGAAAAAAATCAGATTTCGAAATTAACTAAGTAAACGTCTTTTTGCGTTGTGCATTTTTACAAACAGCTAGAGTGTGAATGTTTGTGAGCTTTGATTGGACAATTATACTAAGGATGCTAAGAAAATAAGCTTAATATACAGTGAACAGACATGAGTAGTATTTTTTTCAGGAGTGTATGCAGCAGCTCACGATTTTAAGACAGAATGGGTGGTCGTAAAGGGCATCAAAGACTTTGCGAATGAAATGCAGTCTTCAAGTAAGAAATGGAAACAAATTGCCTGTGTGATGGCAGCATCTGTTGTGGCCAACATTTTGAATGCTCCAGTTATATTCCAAGATTGGCCTCACTTTAATGCAGGTATTGCTTCCTGTCTCAATCTCCTCTTTTTACAAGGATAGGTCTGACGTAGATCTAAGTTCCCACAGTATATTTTTGTATGGATTACAAATCAACATGATTTATTCAGTAATAGTTCACAAATAGGAAATTAAGTTACCCTTATTTTGAGTTTACATACCTGTAGGTTTAACAAGGCCTCTTAAGGTGGTGGGAGAAAAAACGTGTGGCTAAATTGAGTGATGTGATGATGAATAACAATTCACTCCATGAGCCACGTGAAATGGCTGGTATTCTATAGTTAGCATGGTTTATGTAACACAACCAAAATGAGGAAAATTCAGAGGCTAATGACATCCACCAAAGTAATTTGAGTGATTTGATATATGTTCTTGGACCACTAAGCAACACAGAGACTCTATGGTGAGCTGGGCCCCTTACCGAGTTTATATATGACACGCGTCCTGCATGCTGTTAGGATCAGCAGTGTTGATAGCAGCATGTTTTTAAATAGTATAAGAAAGAAGGTAAATTTTGAGCTCGGTAAAAGAAATAGAGAAATGTTTTTCGTCTTGTCACGAACGTGGAAAAAAGATAAAAGATAACAGAAACAAAATAGAAAGAAAAAAAACTCCAGATAGTTACCAAAAAGAGATCGTGATCTTGAGAGAGGAGGGGTTTATAAATGTTATGTAAAAAAACAAACAAACAACAGTCAGACTTTGCTGCAGGAAAACTAACGTGGTTTTTCACTCTCAGCTAGCACATGGAACATTAAAAAAGATCTTAATCAGCTGAGATGTGAAGTAGGAAATATTGTGAAAAAAATGGATACGATGATGGCTCGACAACAGGAAACAAAGGATCGAGGTAAGTTTAGGATGAAACTCCATCTATCTCGCTTAATCTCTGATCAAAAAATAAATTATGTTTTGGCATGAGATTTATCAATCTTTAACACATATTTTGTTAGCTTTTAACGCTTGTTTGGGCGTTAGTTGTACCTGAGAAGACATTTAATCCTTTTAAAGAGGATTTAGACCCAATTTCGGAGGGAAGTTCTAACTTACGAAACCGTAAAAATGTTGTTACCCTCAGATAAAGTGACGAATGACTTTGACTGGATGAGAACTGAAGTTGGAAATCTACGTGATAAGCTGGACACTTTAATGGCACGACAACATGAAGCACAAGATCATGGTGAATTCTTAATGCCATATATTACGTCACTTTTACAATTAAAATTAACCTTTTAAAATTGAGAAGTATGGGAGATGCTGTAAAATTTTCTAACCTATCAACTGTCAAAGCGCAGTGAGGTGCATATTGGTGTATGCGGTTTGATTATTGTAATGGTTAATTAAAATGTACCAAACCCCCCCTAAAAAAAGAAAAACAACAGCAAGAAACAATAAAAACGAAAAAAAAGTATTAATGGTACTAATACTCCCAAATAAATTAAAAGGAATGAATGAAGGTTATTTGGTTTTCCATTGTTGGTTGTTTCATATACGCATGAAATACGAATAAAAAACTTGTTTCAGCTAATTCTTTTAAAGTAAAGGGAAAAAGAAACCTGGACTTATTTCAGACAAATATGTGCTTTGAAATTTAGAAAAAATGACAAATGACATTGATCAGATGAGAAGTGAAATTGGAAACATACAAGACAAGTTGTCAAGTTTAATGATGGCCCGACAAGAGGAAACACAGCATCAAGGTTAGTCCCTACAGCAGCTATGAATTCAAGGGTGATTCATCTATTGAAATGCGGAGTTTCGGGAGAGTTAATATTAAGAGGGTGTTCACCGTAAGAATGATGCATTTTTTGAGTGAACAACGTGAAAACAGTTTAAACCTATATAACCTCGTAGAACGAAACATAAAGGCCCGGTCATTTACACAAAGTTTGGCCGTTGTTTAATAAAACCACATCCTAAACCATCTTCAATTTAGCCGAACCTTTTGTCTGAAAAGTCATTTTTGTGAAAAGTGTCAAGAGAGCCTAAAGCTAACTGCGGAAGGACATTTATTTACTTAAATCAACCCTCTTCTAGGGAATGCCTAAGGCTCATTGTGTAAAACCGTGGTTTGGGTTAGACCTCGTTTAAATAACCGACTCAAAGTTTGTGAACTAACGTGACTCACACTGCAAATAATGAATTAGCCAAATATACTGACACAATTTGGCAAACGATAGCACGGAAATTACGAACAATACAGTAAAGAGGTACTGTTTGTTTTCAATACACAGTTTAGACAAAAACTTGAAAGAAAAGTCTAAAGATGGGCAATGAATAATGCTTAATTTTCATTGAAAGTAGACTTGTGTCTTTTGCGTGCAAAAAGGTGCTCCTTAGAAGGATTTGCCATAAGACCTCTCATCGCCGTTCGTGTAACCGGCGAGGCTGTCGTGTTTGGGTTTTGCCTTACAGCTCTTTTCCGGGCACAGCCGCCTATAAGACCATCGTCACCCGGTTATGGAAATAGTTACTTAAACCTCTGCCAAAACCATTTGACATGTTGCACAACAGAGCTGGGAATTACTCTCGCTCATTAGCAATGACATTAAGTTATTTTTTAAAAGTTTATTGTTTTTCATACGCGATCTATTTTAAATGGAGTGGGTATCAGTTGAGGCTTCTATTCCGCTAATAATATTGAAATGTTCATCCTTAGGGGACGTCAAAAATTACCTTGATCGAATCAAAATTGATTTTGGAAACATGAGTTACAGGTTGGACGATTTGGTAGCACAACAAAGAGAAACAAAGCAGCAAGGTGCGTACTACGCTAACTAACTAACAATTGGATTTTGAGGGCGAAGTTTAGTCAACTATCACGCATGAAACTGAGAGCGAAAAATCCAATATTTTAATTTAATCTAAAAGTCATTCAAGACTGGGAAGAAAGGCAGGCTCGTGTTTTTATCGAATATTAATACAAATGTGCCATCCCCTGTGCTGTTTACATTCCTTTCTATCTGTCACGGAATAAATAGTGAGTAGCTAAGCCAATCAGATTGCAGCATGTGCGATCGAACGTATATTTACACTAAACCCTAATAATATCAGTGCTTGAGGAGAATAATAAAAAAAATAGTTTGAAATATTGGGGTAGGAATCAGTTACAGCAATTGTTATTTCATCACAAATTGAATCAGATGCCTCCATAGGAAAGAATAACCCTTCATATTTTGCCTCACATCCAACGTGTGGCTTCGTAGCTCAGTTGTTAGCAGCACGGTATCTCATGAGGAGCTTTGGCCCCGAAAAGAATTCGCAGCCTGCATTCTATAGAGGCGCTATCATTTCTGTCATCAATGTAGAGAATTACTTTAACGCTTGCAGTCGGTAGGTGTCTATGGGGTTATTTAAACCTGTTGATTTTAACTTAAAGGCTCATCTGATAATTAATACTTCATCTAAGCGCGAATTTCAATTACAAAAACGCAACAAATCTTAGACCGGAATCACCTGGCGCGATCCTATCATGGAGGCCAAAGTCTTCCATTGATCGGCTGAGCTTTCTAGAGTTACGGAATACAATCTCGACCATATGTGCTAACGAAAAGTTAATGTGGAATTAAGCCAAATGCAAAGAACGAAATCTTTCGTCGATTCCCCGATGACTGCAATACGTTCTGTCCCGCCAGCAGTTCTCAGCCGCGCCAACAAAAGCTGTTCGTTTAATACCATGTCACCAAACATGTTGTATGTTCATTTGGTCTCTGTGCCGGACTAATTATACAGCGAGAATTTCCTGCAGATGCATTCGTGAGGATGTAATGTTGGAAACTGTACGATACGTCAATTATTCTTAATTTGATTGACATTTATAAGTGATTTCGTTTAACAAACAACATGTATGCAGTACTTATTTTATCGCCCCTTATTTGGCATTGTTCCACTTGCTAACAGCGGAACATTCAGTGCGTGTTTTTTCGAATAAGTCGAGAGTTGTGAATGGGAGTTAACCAAAGCGTTGAAATAGAATCGTTAAATCAAGTGAATAAACCATGACTTTATAGGGAAGCGTGGTACAGCCTTTTCACGTTTTCGACAATAATCCTGTTATATCAAATTGCTCTCGACCGTGCACTTTAGGCGGGAAATACCTCTAGTCGAATAATCATGGGGAATTGCAGAGATGTCAGTCAAGAATGGCCGAGCTTAACAACGACATTCGCGTACTAGTAAAGGATAATGATTATTTAAGTTAACGGTGGATGCCTCAACTTTCAGTCAAAAGAAAGAGTCCGACAAAGAACAGCCTCCTGATATTTATTAGCGTGAATTCAATTTTTTCGTTTCCTATCTGAGGGTTAATTTTTAATATCTCCTATACCCTAAGGGTATAAGGGTTACTTTTAATCTCTTCTATACCCTATTGGGTAGTGTATACCTGAGGGTTACTTTTAATCTCTTCTATACCCTCCTGGGTAGTGTATATCTAAGGGTTACTTTTAATCTCTTCTATACCCTCTTGGGTAGTGTATACCTGAGGGTTACTTTTAATCTCTTCTATACCCTCCTGGGTAGTGTATACTTGAGGGTCACTTTTAATCTCTTCTATACCCTCTTGGGTAGTGTATATCTAAGGGTTACTTTAAATCTCTTCCATACCCTCTTGGGTAGTGTATATCTGAGGGTTACTTTTAATCCTTTCTATACCCTCTTGGGTAGTGTATACCTGAGGGTTACTTTTAATCTCTTCTATACCCTCCTGGGAAGTGTATATCTAAGGGTTACGTTTAATCTCTTCCAAACCCTCTTGGGTAGTGTATATCTGAGGGTTACTTTTAATCCTTTCTATACCCTCTTGGGTAGTGTATACCTGAGGGTTACTTTTAATCTCTTCTATACCCTCCTGGGAAGTGTATATCTAAGGGTTACGTTTAATCTCTTCCAAACCCTCTTGGGTAGTGTATATCTGAGGGTTACTTTTAATCCTTTCTATACCCTCTTGAGTAGTGTATATCTTAGGGTTACTTTTAATCTTTTCTATACCCTCTTGGGTAGTGTATACGTGAGGGTTACTTTTAATCTCTTCTATACCCTCCTGGGTAGTGTATACCTGAGGGTTACTTTTAATCTCTTCTATACCCTCTTGTGTAGTGTATACCTAAGTGTTAATTTTAATCTCTTCTATACCCTCTTTGGTAGTGTATACCTGAGAGTTACACGGCAGTCACGATATTCATATTCGTAGATGTGGATTTGCTTACAACAAACTAAAATGCACCAACGTTACTTTAGAGAACCGTGAAGCCTAGATTCTCCCCTGTTATAGTCAATTATGGTAAGCATGTAGACGGAACAGGTAGACCATCAGTTGAAAGGGATGTGTATTCTCTGGATTATCTAATCATCACAGTTTCTGGTCTTTAAAAGTTCAAAACCGTTACCTGTATTAAGAAGGTTTGTCTGAGTTAGCCTTAAATAGGCCTAGGCCTTACATCATGGCGGTAAAATCAGCTTTACCAGTGCCGCTTTTAAGGCAATTTTGAGTTTCTTCTTTTTACGTGTTTTAATTTGTTCCTGTTATATGTTGCTCTAACATTTGGCCAGGACTATTTGTGGACCTTGTGTTAACGATTTACCGTTGTCTTCTTTAAGACATACATTGTTTCTACAAAGAAAATAAGCTTAGCGTACCACCCCTTAGGTTATTTCGAATTAGATCCGTTAAGTTTCTTCGAGGAATTTCCCAGGACTCTTGTTTCTGGACAATGTGCGAACAAAGTAGTGTTGCATCTGCAAAATGATTAGAAATGTAATTATGGGAAGCTGCAGTTTTTTCCATTTCAATCGGAAGCACAGGTTCGAATTTCATCGAAGCCTGAACCTTTCACAGGTTTCTTCCTGTAACTTTTAAAATTATCGCTTACCTGTGGGTATCATGGCTTTATTTATGACAGAATGGTAATAAATAACAGTCACTGGCATTGTAGAGGATCCAAGCCTCAAACTTTTGGATTTCGCGACTGAATATACTTCAATTTTACCAACTGAGCCAAAGAGGCAAGTTGGAGAATTATCTCATCTGCCAGGCTGATTTTTTGACCAACATCTTGCATATAGTTAACATGACGCCGGGAAAGGAAGCGGGCTGATAAATTTTTAGGATTTTTCGCACAGACTTTGTAAAGATCTCTCACATAGCTCCGTTTCGCCCTGATAACTTCCTTATCAGTTTTAAAATCAGAAATTATCATATGACACTTGATAATTAGTATTTATGTAAACGATTTACCAAATGTTTGTTAAAATTGTTCAACTGCTTGCTACTTGGATGACTAAGCTCTTATTGTCTTTTACCGTGAACGACTCTGCTTGGATCACTCAAAGTGTTAATTCCGACTTACAACTGATTCGCAATTCAGTGGTTTTTCGACAATTGTTTAATGCTTAATCCAGATAGGACGAAACTAATGGTTTTTGGCAGCCGAGGAATGTCTTCGAAATTACTGGACTTTTATCCCCCTCAGGAAAAGACATTCACCCGGCTCAATCAGTCAAAGACCTTGGAGTAATTTCTGATCCCACGATATCTTTTGATAACCATATTTGTACTGTATCGTCTTGCTTGTGGAAATTATCTGAAATAAGCTGTATTAAATTCGTTTTCGATAAACAACTGCTTGAAACCATAATAAACGCGCTTTTTTCAGTAAACTATATTACTGTTCATCAGTATGGTCATCTACCTCAGCCTGTAATATTCGTAAATTGCTATATGTTCAAAACTTTACCGCGCGAATTATCTGCAACGTAAAGAAGTATAACCATATCTCTCCTGTATTAAGAACCTTAGGTTGGCTCCCTTTAAGAACACAATTGTATTGCCGAGATGCTACTTTAACATTTAAATGTATGACGGATCAAGCCCCGGAATACTTAACATCTATGTATATAACAAGAGGCAGCGTATCTGGACGTATAACCAGAAACTTTCAACGACGAAACATTCCCCTTTTCAAAACTGCAACAGGACAGAAAACGTGTCATTATAAAAGTGTATCAACCTGGAACAAGTTAGATCCAAGCCTTAAATTATGTAAGAGTCCCGCTTCCTTTAAGAGAGCTCTAAAAATCACCTTTTGAATGAATTTTTAAACTGACCATATTTTATTTAAAGATATATAATTCGTATTATATTGTGCGTCATATCAAACTCGTGGGGTAAAAATAGTCTTAACACAAATGTAGTGACCACGCTCACTTCAACACCCCACTCAAATCGAGTGCAATTTTCGAATGTTTTACCATCGTGCGGATTCTCTACGGAAAAAGCACTCAATGTACCTCTGAAATATTAAACTATAATATTGTGGCTTTCTTTTTCGCTAATTTCCTTACTTGAAGGTAACGTTTTTCCCTCGTCATTTTTACTTTTTCTCCGAGCGGTTGCGTGAAATTAACAAGCGTTTTTGATCAAAACACGACCGAGCGAAGGGTCTCGGGCGATAACTCTTTTACTCAGGCGCAAATTAAAAATGTACCGCCAGAATCAAAAAGAGGAACAAATTTCCTTTGTTTTGATATGTAAAGTGTCGAACAAAAAGCAGATTTACCCTCGTCAAATGGCGTTTCAAAACAGCTGTATCTTCCTCCTTTTGATTTTTTCCTGTTTTGTAAGTGTAAAAGCAGTAGGAGAGGGATCAGGAAACTCAGAAAGCGCTTCGGGAATTAATCTGCCATCGTTTACTTACAAGATAAACAAGAAAGATTTGTGAAGTTCGTTGAAATATGAAGTCTAAATAAATGCCTTTTTTAAGCATGTTTGCTGGATTTTTCGTAAACTTCCCTGATTAATTTTTCGTTTCAGCTTACTAATCTATACTATTTCAAAGCAATGTAAATACGAAGACGGAGAACCATGAGTCGATCCTTTCAACAGTCGTAAACAAAGTGTTTGAGCAATCAGCTTTACGAGGTGTAATAATCAATAGCCGCATATCAGAAGTCTTCAGAAAGAAAGTAGAAGGCAGCGATGAAGTGATCTTTTGCTCATACAGGTTTGAATAGCTTAAACCCTCTAAACTCAAATGTGAAATAACAGAAACCAATTTTTTTTAAAAAAAGTTCCTCATTAACACGTTGACCGAACGCTAATCAATATGATATTCGGTACGGTGTGTTCACCTTTTTCGTCACGATACAGAATTATTTGTCAGAATTTAGCCGTTTAAAATGTTTAGAAAATCAATTTGTGTGTTCTTAATGCTCTACCCTGCTATCTTTTCTTTTTAAAATTGTTGAAATCTAAGATTTATGCATAATTCTAATGTCACGTTAGCAAAATCACCAAAAGTTTGAAGTCACTAAGACGAAGAAAATGAATAAGTGAAAGATGTTTTTACATTTCTATAATTTCGAACATCTTATCAGAAGAAATCCACAGCAGTTTTCTATGGTCTGGTCTGAACTTGAGAAATATCACCCAAGAAAGGAAGAGTACTTTTAACCAATTTAAAAAAAAAACGGCTAAGGAGTGTTTTTAAATAAATTATGGTTAACCTCTGAATGAACACATCAAAATTGAATGCCTTCTAAACCCCTTATATATCACAAAATTTAGGAGCACAAACGATTTCTTGCTGCATGCGGTGTGTTACGAGGAGGCTGCTTTTTGCAGCTCTGACTATTGAGAGCTCTCAAAAACTTTTTTTAACGTATTTCCAGAAACCAACGTGGTTTTATTTACTTACTACCAAAGATAATTTAATGGGTAAAGTTTGAGGCAAAACTTTTCTCTGATGTGAAAGGCCTTGGACCACTCTTACAGAGATCGCCACTTAATTGATACACAGTAGCATAAGAGATTGACTTAATAACCCATTACATGCAGCGGATATTGATCATGTCGAGTTCAGAGTCTGCCTAGTTTCCGAGCCCCTCGACCGTGTAGTGTTCTCAAAATTTTGCACCCTCAGAGAGAAATGTTTTATTTTGCAGTTGTTTTCAAAATGAAAAAAATATCTGTTTGATTCCGGTTTTTTTTTTCATGTTATTATGAATTATCAAACTTCGTGTCAATAACATCTGTTTCAGCCTTCGGCTTCGTCAGATAACTCAGACCTAAGTGGTGATATTTCACGATATCATTCTCAGTGTCATCGTATAATTGCTTATTTTTCCGAGAGTCATGGCGTCATATAGCGTGTCGGTAAGAATGCCTCAGAAAACTAACAACTGATTCTTTTTCAGATGGATTTGACCCAACTGGAATTATTGATAATATTCGTCAACTCTACAAAAATCGGGAAGGTTGGCTGGCACCGTTTCCCTGGTGTGAAGATTTTCACTTTTCCTTTGACGACATCTACACCAGACTTAAAGTAATCTGCAGAAAGAAAACGAAAGGAACACCAACAGACCGAGTTGTCACGATGTCTGAAATCTTCAACCAGCACGAAGAATGTGAAGAACCAAGAGTAGTGTTAATTGAAGGGAAGCCTGGTATGGGAAAGACCACTTACTGTAAAAAAGTTGTTTTCGACTGGGCCTCAGGAAAACACGCAACCGGAAATTGCTTCGCAAACATCGTAATAGTGCTTTTGATCAAATGTCGTGATGTTGAGTCTGGCCTTTGGGAGGCCATTGAAGATCAACTTCTGCCTCGAGAAGTTGGTGAAGACCAACGTGAGAGATTCTTCGACTTCATTCGCCACAATCAATCTAATGTTCTTCTGGTACTCGATGGATTGGATGAAGTTTCCGAGAAGAAGCTACCTATGTTTTCAGAAATTATTCAAGGCCGTGTATTGCCAAACTGTCGCGTGGTTGCTACGGCACGACACGAAGCTGGAGTCAAAGTTCGAAAATACTGCAACACGCTGTTAGAAGTTGAGGGATTTACTGAAGAAGATGTACAATCCTTCATCAGAAAGTACTTCAAAGCCGAACCAAACTTGGCCAAGCAGCTTACCGCACACCTGTATATTGATCGCAAGTTATATGAAATATTGACGAATCCTCTCAACACTGCGCTTCTTTGCCTGGTTTATGAAGATTTGAAAGGTATATTTCCTGAGAGCAGAACGAAGCTGTACATGGAAATAGTGGAGTGTGTACTAAGAAGGTACAGAACAAAGCAGCAACTACCAGAAAACGGTGAAGACCTTGTTGACCTTTACGAAAGCCAATTGAAACACCTTGGTTCGATAGCTTTGAAAGATTTACTTGAAGACAACTTGGATTTTGACGAGAAGGAGCTTGGAAAACACAAAGCAAGCGATTTACCTGGATTTGGATTTCTGTCAGTTCAGCCTGGAGGCAGTAAACTAAGACCAACTAGACGTTATAGCTTTCTCCACAAGACTTTCCAAGAATTCTTCGCAGCGTTCTATCTCAGTTGTCAGCTTATCCAGAAAGAAATCAGTACGAACAGCATAGCTGCTGACAAAAAATATCGCCATCAACTTAAAGAAGTGCTTCTGTTTACATTTGGTATGCTAGCAGCACGATGCGAGGAAACAGTGGTGAACCTTCTGAAAAGCATAGCAACACAGTTAAACCAGGAAGAAGAGAAAGAAGTGGACTTTATATTAGAATGTGTTAATGAATGCAAAAAGAAGAACAAAAATGTTGATGAAAAATTGGCTACCACTCTTGGCGCTTCTCTTCAAACTGAAACTGTTGAAGTTTCAAGGGTAGATGAAACTCTAGCTGTCTTTTTAAGCAACTTTCTGAAAACAAATACAACTGTGACAAACTTAACATTGAGGAAATCTTTGCAAGGTGGGGTTGCCGCTCTGGCAGAGTGTTTGAAAAATAACAAAACGCTGACAATGTTGGACTTGAAATTTACTAAAATTGGTGATGATGGTGCTGCTGCTCTGGGTGAGTGTTTGAAATATAACAAATCGCTGACAACGCTGAATTTGTTTAGCAATAAAATTGGTGATGATGGTGCTGCTGCTCTGGGTGAGTGTTTGAAATATAACAAATCGCTGACAACGTTGAATTTGATTGATAATGAAATTGGTGATGATGGTGCTGCTGCTCTGGGTGAGTGTTTGAAAAATAACAAAACGCTGACAATGTTGGACTTGAAATTTACTAAAATTGGTGATGATGGTGCTGCTGCTCTGGGTGAGTGTTTGAAATATAACAAATCGCTGACAACGCTGAATTTGTTTAGCAATAAAATTGGTGATGATGGTGCTGCTGCTCTGGGTGAGTGTTTGAAATATAACAAATCGCTGACAACGTTGAATTTGATTGATAATGAAATTGGTGATGATGGTGCTGCTGCTCTGGGTGAGTGTTTGAAATATAACAAATCGCTAACAACGTTGGATTTGAGTGATAATGAAATTGGTGATGATGGTGCTGCTGCTCTGGGTGAGTGTTTGAAATATAACAAATCGCTGACAACGTTGGATTTGAGTTATAATACAATTGGTGATGATGGTGCTGCTGCTCTGGGTGAGTGTTTGAAATATAACAAATCGCTAACAACGTTGGATTTGAGTGATTATGAAATTGGCGATGATGGTGCTGCTGCTCTAGGTGAGTGTTTGAAAAATAACAAAACGCTGACAATGTTGGACTTGAAATTTACTAAAATTGGTGATGATGGTGCTGCTGCTCTGGGTGAGTGTTTGAAATATAACAAATCGCTGACAACGCTGGATTTGTTTAGCAATAAAATTGGTGATGATGGTGCTGCTGCTCTGGGTGAGTGTTTGAAATATAACAAATCGCTGACAACGTTGAATTTGATTGATAATGAAATTGGTGATGATGGTGCTGCTGTTCTGGGTGAGTGTTTGAAATATAACAAATCGCTGACAACGCTGAATTTGTTTAGCAATAAAATTGGTGATGATGGTGCTGCTGCTCTGGGTGAGTGTTTGAAATATAACAAATCGCTGACAACGTTGAATTTGATTGATAATGAAATTGGTGATGATGGTGCTGCTGCTCTGGGTGAGTGTTTGAAATATAACAAATCGCTGACAACGTTGTATTTGAGGTATAATAAAATTGGTGATGATGGTGCTGCTGCACTGGGTGAGTGTTTGAAATATAATACATCGCTGACAATGTTGAGTTTGTTGGATAATAAAATTGGTGATGATGGTGCTGCTGCTCTGGGTGAGTGTTTGAAAAATAACAAATCGCTGACAACGTTGGATTTGAGTGATAATGAAATTGGTGATGATGGTGCTGCTGCTCTGGGTGAGTGTTTGAAATATAACAAATCGCTGACAACGTTGGATTTGAGTGATAATGAAATTGGTGATGATGGTGCTGCTGCTCTGGGTGAGTGTTTGAAATATAACAAATCGCTGACAACGTTGGATTTGAATCATTATAAAATTGGTGATGATGGTGCTGCTGCTCTGGGTGAGTGACAAATCGCTGACAACGTTGGATTTGAGTTATAATAAAATTGGTAATGATAGTGTTGCTGCTCTGGGTGAGTGTTTGAAATATAACAAATCGCTGACAACGTTGGATTTGAGTTATAATGAAATTGGTGATGATAGTGCTGCTGCTCTGGGTGTTACGTAGGAGTGTCACCCTCATGTGACAATACTTGCAATAAATTGAACCCTTCTAGGACATGGCTACCTTGCCTTATGACCAACTTTAAGAAGCGTTTACGTCAGGAATAAGCAGCGATTAATGACTCTGACCTTGAACAGGGTAAATGTACAGTAGCTTCCATTTATCGATATCAGTATTAGTATAAGAGTTACGTAGCATCTGTTTGCCACGATTATTTACTTTTGTAAGAGCTTTTTTTTAGTCAAGAGACCGTTTTGTCTAAAATGCACTTTATTTTTACAATGTTATCCAAACACAACTTTTACCTTGTCACGTTTAATGGAAAAAACAAGATTGTGTTTAGTCAAGAGACCGTTACACTTTATTACAATGTTATCCACACAACTTTTACCTTGTCACGTTTAATGGATAAAGCTGTTAAAAGAAACTATGCTTCATCTGTAACGCGCGTGCGTGTAAACCGCCAGATTATCCGCGTGAGGATAATTTGGAAACATTGGACTGCCTCGGATTTTGCTGTAGTTGAAAATCGGATGTAATATTTTTGTCTTTAGTAATAAATTCTGCTCATATATATATATTTTCTAGAGGGACTGCCATAATTGGTTTAAGGTTAAAGTATTTATTCTTTGGTGATCAGTTACTTGATTCTCATAAACTTACTTTAGTATGATAATGTGCTGACACTTTTAAGTCCTGTGAGAAATTAGAAGTTGATAATTCTTAGGTGCAAAGAGTTAATTAATAGAGTTGTAGCCATGTTGTATGGTAAGACTCTTTATGATGACTACATGAGGCTTTGTTGTAGGCTGTGAAGAATAATCTATTTTTCGAAGTGAACTTTTTTTTAGAAAAGTTGTTACAAGACATTTTTGAATTTTGTAATGGTATGTTTACTTGAACCATTTATGTATTTCTTAAGACGTAACTGATATAAATAAAAGTATTTTCAGTAGAATTTCAATTTTTCTCCTCTATTTCTTGTTGATGCGTATACTTTTTTTTGCGTTCATCCAGAAAGTCCGTTTGATTACGATGCTCCTTAGCCTGCTGCTTCCTTTCTTCAATTCCCTTTTTTCGTTTGATATTTCTTGTAAACTGACCCATGGTCGATGCAATTTGGATGTTTTAGGGGGTGGGTTTTAATCTGCTCACACAGAAAAACTGGGTGAAAGAGTAGCTTGTCTTGCTAACTGAAATCAGAGAATACCTATGTCCAACTCGTGCATGGAGTTCTCCATCTAGCGATGAAACGTGGTTGTAAACCTGTAATTATATTCCTTGTAGCAATGCAAGGTTGCTCTTATCTCAAAAGCCGAGCATGGTAACCATGGTAACCATCAACTCCGCTGAGAAATAAACGCATGTATAGTCTTTAGAAACAGCACAAAATAGTATCCTGCGTTTATCGAATTTCTGTTCGCCAAATTTGTCAAATCTAGACGCTGCAATCCAAGTCTTTCTTCGCCTGCACAAGGCAAATTTTGTTATTTTTCATTCAGATGTCCCGTTCCGCCTCAGCTGCTCAAGAAATGGTTGAATTGCAGCGCAACAGTCTTTGTTTACAGCCTTAATCCTCAAACTCCCAGATCAAATTTGTAATTCTCTTACTGTCAACCATAGAATTCTTATGATGTTAGTTCAGAGAATTTAATATTGAATCAACTAATTATCCCTAAATTGATATTTCTCTTTATTCTCATCACATATCTGGTTGATATTGTATTGATATTGTAAGGAGAAATTCTGTCTTGGTTACCCATGGGAGTTAAAGGGTTGACTCCCGTGTGCATCTGATAACAAAACTCTTTAAGTTTTCTGCCTCGGAAAGAATTACCTCAGAAGGCATTTTAGGCGATCGCAATATTTTGTCTGATTGAAAATCAACATATGCGGTAGTGAATTCCACAAGTTTTCTTTTGTCAGAAAAGCATAGGATTATTTTCGTCCGCTTCTGACCGATTCAGTCGCCAATGCTCAGTTTTCATAAGATAATTGAATTTAATCACGGTTCATGTTTGACATCAGATCATAAACAAGCGAAGCGATTCACAGTAGTGGGTTTGTGCCTGAACTTGATAAAATTTTTTCACTTGCAAGATTATATCTAAAGCAATGATGCTTAATAGGTAACAAAGCCTTACTAACGTCACGTGCGGTTACTACTCCAATGTGGTTTCGTGCTCGAGCGAGTTCGGGACGACTAATTACCAGTGTCTACATCTAAGTGAGTGAGTGACTCATTTGCATATCTGAGTCTTCATAAAAACTTTTTTGCACGAGTTAAAAATGAGAAAAGAAAGAGAAAAGAGAGAGAAGATATTGACCATAGCAACAGGTTACCCAGGTGTTCAAACTTTCCCCACCCCCTCCCCTCCTCGGTTGTTTATTTCTGAGAGAGAGGTAGGAGTGGGAAAAGCAAGAAAAAAGGATGAGGGAAAAGTGAATTAAAAAACCCGGCTCTGTACCACAGGTTCACCAGCCTTTAAACAATATAAAACGAGAAGAAAAAGAATTGATGGAAGAGATATAATGTGCCTATGTTTTTTTTGCTGGTTAATAACTGTATTCAAAATTTGATATTATCGACCTCAGCGCCTTGTGAGTTCTCCTTGACCATTTCTTTGCGCATTAAAAGTACAATTTGGAGGCCAAAAAGTGTCCCCATTTAGCGCGCGGCCAAAACGATCATGTTACGTAGCTGTGACATAGAAAACTGTGCAGAAACTTCGTCGGAGAAAGGAGAAATGAAGAGGAGACGACGAACAGATTTCGTGGACGTAGCGCCAAATGAGGTAAGATAAAAGAATAATAGATCTACACCGGGTATTTCCATACGCCACTTTCCAAAGGATGTTGCTGTATGGCCAAAATGGACGCGTTTCCATCCTAGTCATAGAGGAGATTTTATTCTTTAAAGTTGTCGGCCTTACGCTCCGTTTCGGCTTCGAAGACGGCTATCACGAACACATGCCACTGGACAAATAAGGGGAACTTAGATCGCCAGTGAATTCAGCTGAAAAGAATGCTGATTAAGGGGCCTATTCCACATCGGACACGACTATACCACATTCTTTTCGGCTGACATTACGCAAGCGAAAAATGGTGAGCTTCTCAATGTTGCTTATTTCACGCGCTTGAGAGATACTTATACTCTTTGTCTTTCCACATGATTACATTTGCGCTTTTCTGATCGTTTGATAATCCTACCAGTTATAGTTTCCATCGAATTTTACGAACAGAAATACATCATTTTTATTAAAAGTCAAGCCCTCTCCTGAGCTGAGCGGTATCCTGCTGCCTGGACAGTGCGAAACCTCTGGCGGATACTGGCATAAACACAAGATCGAAGGGTCCTTGTACTCTGCCAACCTGGGTTTCCGAAAATCTATCCCACAAGCCATCAATTCCCCTATGACCTCAAGAAACTAAAAGTAGCAAAAATAGCAATGTCATCGTGACAACAGCACTGCAACGCGACGAATTGTGAAACACAAATACTATTGAATTTGATAGTAGCAAATCCGAGTGCTGTGAAAGTCAATGCATACGAAATATTCATTTACAATACTGATGTCCGCGGTTATTTGCCAGTGAGTGAAATGGGTCACGTGGAAATGCTGCACTCAAACTAAAGAGGTCTTTCTCTATTAAAAGTCTTATTGATGAATATAAACTCACTCGTTTTTCGTTTAAACGGCACGACGACGATCGCCTCCGCCTTTACAATGTCTGAGGAAAGGAGCAACTTGCAATAAAACTGATGGATGACTTTCCGATGAGAATTATCGCGCGTGCTTCGTGATTCAGCTGGTTCTTTCGATGCTGACGTCAAAAGTAAGCTTCTGGTTTACCAAGGGAATTACTCTACAAGAACGAAACCCAAGAACACTGACCATGCAAGGCGAACGTTTTCCGCACCTAGTACGAAAGAATAAATTGTTAGGGCAATAGAAAAGAATACAGCTTCCCATTCTTACCATAGAACTTAAAATTTGGTAACGGGAGTTTTTTTGTTCTAATCTTGACCTAAACACCGCAAGCAAGAAATCGTCTTTGTCCCTTTTTCAGTGTTAGTCGAAATCTTTGTTTGAAGCACGCGGTTCTTCTTTGAAGGGCTGAACCGTACTTGCAACTGCCATTTCTTCTTTACTACTTGAGTACGATATGTTACAACTCTTTAAGAGCTTGCTGAAGGTAGATAGACATACTTAACGAACATCATTTCTAGAGTTTTTCAAAGCTGACTGATACAAAATTACCAGAGATGTGAGAGATTTGTAATTGACAACTGAGAGTTTTCACACTTATTTACGTTATCGCCGGCTAACTCGTTACCAGTCTACGGACAAACTAAGAGCACTTTAGGGCCCGAAAAAACCGAGTTTCATTTTTTTGAAATTTTCTTCTATCGGAATTGGTTTGAATATATGATAAGCTAAATAGATATGCAAAAAGGAAGTCCCTGTCATAGGTACATTATGAAGAGAAGAAAACAGTACGCTTAAATTGTGCAAGTTTGAAAAGCTATCCATGTATAATAAAAAAAAAGATCGTGAATTAATCAAAAAGAGCAGCAATTCGGCACGCTCCCTATGTCCCCCTTCCCTCTCTTCCCCATAATGCACCCAGGAGGGGAGGTCAATTTTAGAAAGAGGGGTTCCAAATTCTCCCTACCCCTCTCCCACCGTCTTCAAAACCCTTCATGTACCCTTAAGGGAAGTGAAGTTTACAAAGGGAGGTGCATATTCTCCTTCCGACATACCCCTCCCCCTTTCCCTCCTCCAAACACACATACGCATGCGCCAAACCCCTGATACACCCTTGAGTGGAAGTCAAGTTT